GGAAATTACCGAGAGAGTCTATCTGACAATCTCAGGGATATCATCCTCAGATTTAACAACAAAAAGCAGCTGGAGGAGGCTTCGATTGCCCTAAACCAGGCCATCATGGACTCCTTCGAGACAAACTGCAAGCTTATCCCGAAAGGGCAGCCCACTGAGACTCCTTGGTGGTCAGAGAGGCTCGGTGGGCTGAGGGGCAAAGCTAGAAAAGCTTTTAACAATGCTAAGAACATGAGAGCGGGCCCTCGTAACAACAAGGCAATAAAGGCAGCCAAAGAGGACTGCTGGAGGGCTTTCACAAGCAATGTGGAGAGTCAATCGGAGACCTCTAGGCTGGCAAAAATCCTTGGAACAAACAAGACTCCATATCTAGGGAGCCTACAGGCACCAGATGGCAGCCACACGGAAACCATGGGAGAGACTCTGAAACTCCTAATGAACACCCACTTTCCAGGCTTCATACAGGCCCAGGAGAGAGATAAAGAAACAATGCAAAATCAGAGGGATGTCTACGAAACCCATGATTGGGCATTGGCAAATAAAGTAGTGCAGCCCTGGGGGGTCAAGTGGGCCATCAAAACCTTTGAACCCTTCAAGGCACCGGGACCAGACGGGATCTACCCAGCCCTATTACAGGAAGGGATAGAGACTATCACGGGACCCCTAACCAAGATACTCAGAGCTAGTATAGCCCTGAAACATGTCCCTAGTGTGTGGAATGAGACTAGGATAGTATTCATTCCCAAGCCGGGAAAAACCGGTTATATAAAACCAAAAGACTTCCGTCCTATAAGCCTCACATCCTTCATCCTGAAGACCCTGGAGAGGCTGGTGGATAGACACATCAAGGCCGGGCCCTTGGCTGACAGACCCCTCTCCCCCTGTCAATATGCATACAGAGAGGGACGATCAACAGATACCGCCTTACATCACCTGGTGGGACTGATTGAGGGACAACTGGCGGTCAAGGGTTTTGCCATAGGCGCCTTTCTGGATATTGAGGGGGCTTTTGATAGCACTTCGAATCCGGCTATAGAAAAAGCCATGGAAGAACGACAGGTGTCCAAGACTATCATTGCTTGGACACAAAACATGCTGAAAAGCAGAAGACTGTCGGCAGGACATGGGAGGGCATGTGTGGAGGGACGTCCGACTAGGGGCTGTCCGCAGGGGGGAGTTCTCTCGCCCCTGCTATGGAACCTGGTTGTAGATGGACTTCTAAATCAACTAAGTGAGGCCGGCTTCCACGTCATCGGTTTCGCCGATGATGTGGCAGTTGTTGTGAAAGGCGGATTTCTGAGGGTGCTAAGGGACCTGATGGCAACAGCCTTCAATATCATTGAGGACTGGTGCAGGGTAACTGGCCTATCGGTAAATCCAGCCAAAACAACAATCCTGGTTTTCACCAGAAATTATAAACTGGAAAAGATCCAACCTCTGAAGCTAAATGGCTCGGAGATTAACTACACCAGCAGAGTAAAATATCTGGGTGTCCTCCTGGATAATAAACTCAGCTGGAAAGAACATATCTGTACTCAGAGAAATAAAGTGTTTGCCTCTATGTGGGCATGCAGGAGAGCTGTGGGCAGGACATGGGGACTCAATCCTAAAATGATGCTCTGGCTCTACCAAATAGTTCTACTTCCGAGACTGTTATACGCTGCGGTCGTTTGGTGGCCGAGGGTGAGTAAGACGGAAACAAGGAACCTGTTGAAAAGCCTACAGGGAACCTTCCTGAGGGCTGCAACAGGAGCCATGAAATCGACACCTACTGAGGCGCTAGAAATAGCACTCAGTATCCCACCCCTCGACCTTAGGGTTGTGAGTTGTGCTACCACAACTGCATATAGACTAAGGTGCCAACTAGAATGGAAGATGACGGGCCAAGGCCATACAAGGCTTAGCCTAATCAATGATCGACCCTTCATAGGTAAGACGGATAGGATTCCTAGGAAGTATCAGATCAGGAAAACTTTCAGAACGAGTATACCACCCAGACAGGAGTGGCTAGACTCGAAACGTAAACCAGGACCAAGAGAGGACTACTGGTTTACGGACGGCTCTGGCTTCAATGAAAGTTTTGGGGCAGGCATCTACCGTCTGAAAGATGGCTTCGGAGAGAGTTTTCCGCTGGGCCATCATTCAACCGTCTTTCAAGCAGAGATGCTGGGCATACTTAAGTGTGCAGAGTATCTGAACGCGAGAGACACAAAAAAGATGAAAATATTCATCTGCAGTGACAGCCAGGCGGCGATACACGCCCTGGAAAAACCCACTACAGAGTCACAGGTGGTGTGGGAATGCATGCAGGCATTGGACACACTGGGTAAAAACAACCGGGTCACCGTAACCTGGGTGCCAGGTCACCATGGGATTCTGGGTAATGAAGAGGCAGATAAGCTGGCCAAGGAGGGTACAGAAAGTGTGCCCTCACACGGCCTGCTTGGCATGCCCTTCGCAGTGGGAAAAACTCTTATTAAAGATCATTTCCAGCGGGATCATGTCAGGCGTTGGGAGAAAGTTGCGACCTGCAGACAAGCGAAACTGCTTATGAGAGGGCAACTAAGAGTTAGGACCAGAAAGCTTCTGGAGTTGCACAGAGGGGATCTGAGGGTAGCAGTAGGGCTCCTTACGGGCCATACAGCTCTCAGAGCTCATCTGTTCAAGATGAAACTTGCAGAACAAGAAGACTGCAGACTGTGCGGAGGCGATAAGGAGGGCGTCATCCACATTTTATGTGAATGCCCCCTATTAGCACTCCGTCGCTATAAAATCTGGGGCCAGGCTTTCCTGGAACCAGAGGACTTACAACAAGCGGCTGTCACTAGCCTTATTAGCCTAGTGAGAAACACAGGGCTGGGGCTGTGTGACTGACCGAAACTAAGGCGGAAGTTACAAAAGATCGTATGATTTAGGTGACTCTGGGCGCTCTAAGTGACCAGCCGCACATTTTCTATTCTATTCTATTCTAACACATTATTAACCGCCGTTCGAATCCCCTTAATTATGACCCTGTTTCGCGAACTGCACTGGTGTTTTCCTTAATCTTAACACTCAATGCAATAAGAACTATTATGAATAAACAAAGAAAAAGAATAATGAAAAGGCATGAACGTCGGCGCTAGTAACCAATAAGTTGAGCTAGAAATTACCTTTCTTGTTTGCACTGAAAATCAGATTTTTTTTCGTATAGCCTTTGAAGTTCTTACGATTTGTTCCCTTCCCACCCCTAACTCCCTGCACCGCATTGGCCGAAGAACAAGGAAAAACAACAACCGAGGGAAAACCCTGCCCAAACCGTTACATTCAAAGTGCCACAGTGTCCCCCGCATGCAAGCAACCCCGCTTTCTAACCACAGAGTTACTGGTGTCTGTCTTACAGAAAATAACAATTTTTTGGAATAACCAACTTCATTTCAGCGACGCATTTTTTCGTGTCAGGACATTCTTCAACTGTTCAGCACAAGATTTTTTTTTATGGTTCATCCCGTTACTACTTGTTCAAGTCAGAGTAAATTTGCAAATCCTGATTTTAAATACTCTGATCTCAATGGCTTAACTGATCAAAAATAGACTTCACCACTATGGTATCAATCATGTCTTTTCAATTTTATCTCAATTGCATGCTTGAAACCAAAGCTTTTAGTAAAATCTAGCTTCTCTATAAATCACAATCATACTGATTTCAAAAACGCGCTACAGTCATTCAATCATCTTCAATTAAATAATTCCTTTAGTATTGATGAAACATAAAACACATATAGGAAAATATTCTACATACCTTTACGAACTCCCTGAAAGTTGTAAATCTCATTCCAGTCCTCCAACCTCTTCTCTACTGGCCGATAATTCGCAGGATGACGTTTATACTTCATGAATCCTTTAATCTTATCCAATTTCTTCTGAGCTAGATCGCCATCTTCGATCGAGTCCTCAATATCTTTAATAGGTGATCCATTCTCCTTTCCATTCAGCACAGGCTCAGGACTCTCTTCAGCCTCTGTCATTTGCTGAAGAGCTCGCTGATACTCATAAGGGAATACCTTGACGAACCTCGTTGTGGGTTCAGGCCACGTCACGAGGAGATCCTCAGCGATTAGTGATCCAGTCTTCTCGACAAACTCTTCGAGTAGTTTTTTAACGTATTTAATATCCTCGGGTTTGTTCAGAGGAAGCAGTTCCACCATTTCTGGATTGCACTTGCTCTTGAAGGAGCCATCGACATCCAACACGTAAGCGATTCCTCCAGACATTCCGGCAGCAAAGTTTCTGCCAGTTAGTCCTAAGATGACTGCACAACCTCCGGTCATGTACTCACAACCATGATCTCCGACTCCTTCAACCACCACTACTGCGCCAGAATTTCGAACACTGAATCGTTCGGCTGCTATTCCTCTGAAATACGCCTTGCCTGATGTTGCTCCATATAAACAGACATTTCCCACGATCACATTAGCTTCTGACAAGAATTCTGATTCCTTCGAGGGGTAGATGACAATCTCACCACCACACAGACCCTTGCCGACATAATCGTTGGCGTCTCCTTCCAGAGTTACGTGAATTCCATTAGTAAGAAACGCACAGAAACTCTGACCTGCAGAACCCTTCAAACGAATGTTAATGCTACCCTCTGGAAGACCTTTCTCACCCAACTGCTTCGAGATATAATAGCTCAGGGTGGAGCCAAATGCTCGGGTCTCGTTGTTTATTGTCATGTCAATGTTTACTTTTTTCAGGTTATTGTTGAGAATGAGCTTGGCCTCCTCGATGAGGATGTTATCGGGACGGTTTTCCAGTTGGAAGTCTTGTTTTATGCTACCCCCACGAATGTTGGCACCTGGCCGGAGTTCGAGGGCGGAACGAAGAACGTTTGAGAGGTCTAACATTTTTGCTTTGGAGATGATGATGTCTTCACGCATTCGGAGAAGATCCGTGCGACCAATTAGGTCCTGGAATTTACGGACTCCGAGAGATGCCATGTGACCTAAGAAATGGTGAATAAGTTGTGGTGACAATTGAGGAGAAGTTTCGTGGGGTGGTCTCATTAGATCCATGGTTTCAATCATTGAAGATAGTTAATGGCTATTGGGTTTTCTTCTTTTGAAAAGAAACTGCAAACCATGTTGAACTTACAAGGAAACCGTCCCGATTTCCATGAGCTTGAAATATGTTATTCCTCATCGAAATCGAAGGTAGACGTATTTTTTTTGCGGATAAAGACTTTTAGAGGGTGCAACTAACCTTCAAAGTTGGCAGGTTTTCAGGCCCTTTGGATGGTTTCATATATTTGCGGTTAAAATTTGGAAATAAAACCAATTGGATGATAATTTATGAGAAAAATTGTGAAAAATGGCGTTGGTTGCATTTGAATGGAGTAAATTCCTAAAAAATTATAGGGGTTGAAATCCGGGTTTTTTGCTTTTTTCGGGAAAAGCGATGGAGGGGGTGAACCATCCTCGAATGTTCATCCATTCATTAGCAGTCAAGTAATGAATTTTCTCTCGGACGAAGATGATTTCCTATAGGAAATCCTATAGGATGATTTATACGTGAGTGTACCAGAAATTTCACCCAAAAATATTTTAACAGTGTAAATATGAATTATATAATGTAATCTCATTGTGAGTGAAATTTCAATCTTCTATTTATAATCTGGTGAACAATTTTGGTTGAAAAAAAAATTCAGGCGACTGTATCTTTGATACAGCTGTAATTGTACGTGGATACGTCCACGGTCTTTGCTTTGTTCTCGAATTACTTCGAAATATCCAGAATGTTCTTGAATTTCGATAGATGGCGCTGCACATAAGGACCGTCTTCCAAAATAACCCCCCATATTGAAAGCATAGACGTATCTACGCCAAAAGCTAAATTATTAGAGGGCTAAGGATCCAGTACGAGTTTATAAGAAGTTGCAGAAAAATCGGAAGGTCGGAATGTTCACCAATTTTCTCCGGATATAAATAATTATTCGAAAAAAAAGTTGTTGGCTCTGTGTCGGCATTTTTTATGCCAGCACCTCATGATTTGATAAATGAGGATACGTATAGGTAGCAATGATGTTGTGGGGGTAGTGCGGAGGAAGGAGAAAAAGAGAAATAATAATGGAATTATTAGGCCATTACATGAATCTGCAGTTATATGTGGGGTATTCCATGTGAACTCACCCAGGTAAAAACCCACACCATCGCCAATCATATTGCCGATTTTTTCTGTGGTTGTATATGGAAAAATATGACTTCTCAAATTATTTCCGATTTTTTGAGGCATCCTGTGGGCAGCCATGTTTTTTTGCAAGTTTTATCTTCAAATGCCTGTAACGTCCCTAAAAATCAACCGATTTGAGTTTTTTTTTTACAAAATGTGCGTCTTCGAACACACTTTCCATATAAAAATATGCCAATTTTTTTCAATTCGTTCTTCCATCGATTTCCTCAGAAAAACCTCAAAAAACTTCAAAAAACGAGTCGTTTTCAAAGTTGGACCCTTTTTATATTTTTCAAAAAATTTCAGTGAATACATTGGACCAAAATAAAATTTTTCACCAAAGGACAAAGTGGGATTCCTATTAGAACACACCACTCGGAAAGATTTATTGTTAACGAATTTTCAAAAAATCATCAAATTGTTCCAGATTCGAATATAATGCAGTGATTCTTCAGGCGGTAAATTCAAATAATACTGCGTTCAAATGCGAAAAGAATTTTGAAATTTTTGAAATTTTTCATCCCGGATTCATATATTCAAATTGGAAATGACGGCCACGAAATGGGAAGCACACTTTGGCCTTTGGTGAAGAATTTTCTTTTGGTCCAATATATTGATTGAAATTTTTCGAAAAATATAAAAAGGGTCCAACTTTGAAAACGACTCGTTTTTTGAAGTTTTTTGAGATTTTTCTGAGGAAATCGATGGAAGAACGAATTGAAAAAAATTGGCATCCTTTTATATGGAAAGTGTGTTGAAGATGTACATTTTGTTAAAGAAAACTCAAATTGGTTGATTTTTACGGAAGTTACAGGCATTTGAAGATAAAACTTGCAAAAAAAACATGGCTGTCCACAGGATGTCTCGAAAAATCTGAAAAAATTTGAGAAGTCATATTTTTTCATATACAACCACAGGAAAAATCGGCAATATGATTGGCGATGGTGAGAGTTTTGACCTGGGTGAGTTCACATGGAATACCCCATATGGATCTAAATAAAAAAGATATTCAGAAAAAATATTCTCCAACTTTCCTTGATTCTTTCCCATGAATTCAGAAGAAAGCTTGTAATCTGTACTCATTCCTTCTCCTAAAAATACAATAATCCGTATGGGCTACTTTCATTCTGTCTTGCGATTCGCGAGAAAGTTTGCAACAACTTCTTTGTTACAGAACGTTTTTATGTTTCAACCCTAGTAGTTATCTTGTCATTTACATCTTCTGGATAGGCCTAAGAGATTCTTCATTACACATTTCAGAAATTATTTTCGGCCTAGAGGAAATTAAATATTTGGCTGATAAAGAATTCATGAAAAGTCGAGGGTGGTTCACCCCCTACACCAATTTTTCAAAAAAAAGCAAAAACCCGCATTAGCTACTTTTTTCCACTCTTTCGATGGCCATTCATACTAGTGAAATACGAGCGTTATTTTTTTTCAAGAATTTTGTGCATTTCAACCCCTATAATTTTTGAGGAATTTACCCCATCGAAATGCAACCAACACCATTTTTCATCATTTTTCTCGTAGATTATCATCCAATTGGTTTTATTTCAAAATTTAGACTGCAATATATGAAACCAACCAACGACCCTGAAAACCGGCCAACTTTGAGGGTTGGTTTCATCCTCTGAGTCTTCAGTTGGAGAAAAAAAAAAAATGTATACCTTAGATTTCGATGAGCTTGAAGTACATTATTCCTTCTTGAAACCGGTGAGGGACACTCAGGACTGTTTCCTTATTAGGAATATTCTTATCTTGATTGAAATATTCTTATTCTTATTATGTGTGTGAATCCGCCAATTCTGAATGCGAAGAATTGCCTCAAAATTTTACAAGTTTTACAAGTCCAAAAGGAGAAAAACTGAGCGCAAACGGAGCTCTCTACTCAATTATTAGCCGAGATATTGAAGATTGAATTTTTTTTCTTCTAAAAGCTTTTTTGTCAATTCTAATTACGAGTCACTAAGAATAATAATCAATCAAAATAGGGATACCCATTTATACAAAGTTCTCGAGATATTCGCGTTTTTATAATTTTTTCATGTCAGAATTGATTTAACGTTCCACAGTACACGTAGAAGGTGGAAATAGAATTCAAAATTTGGTGTAATAGTTAATACCGTTGAGTCATACTAGTGTATAAAATTTTGGGCTGATCGATTCAAATACATTTTGGCATAGAGTAATTTATCTGAAAATAGTTTTTTGTGAAAAAATGATGGTCATTCTATCAATAATTTTCGAATCTGCATGACTTAAGAAATCATCTATCATAAAATTACGTTCTGTTTCGCTTTATATTACCGTGGAGGTACCAGTATCCGACACTGTACTAGTATCCGACACTCGAACATACTTTCCCTGATATTTCCCTTTTTTTTTATTTTTCAACTAAAAAAGTACCCTCTTTTATTACTCAATAGGAAGAGAAACATTTTATCTGTGGTTTAGACAGGGAGTTTTCGCTTCTACGTGTAGAATAACTTTCAAAATAATTTTTTTCTGTCGGTCTGCCCCTATGCGACATCTGCCGTGGCGTTTTCTTAGCTAAACAGGTTAGAGTCCCTGCGTCGTGTGTGATGGAAAAAAAGCAAAATGTGAGTAAATATTTCAATTGAATATTTTCGGATACTATTAGGGTGATGTAGGGAGGCGTAGGCACAGTTAAATTACTTAAAAACATTCCCAACAAATAAAAATGACGATGTCGGGTATTGAGACACTGGTAAAGCAGTCTGTCCCAGTATCCGACACGTGTTTTTCCATGATCTAACCTCAATTATATTTTTCCATTGTATCTCGCTTCCCAACGATTATTTGAATGCAAAAATGAAACGAACATCACAATCACCAGTAATTAATTAACCACTCAATTATATATTATAGGAATAAAACAAAAATATCAGGAAAAAAATACACGGAAGAGGATTTGCAAAAGGCATTGCCACCAAAAGCCCTCCCAAAAAACGTCTATCAAAGAGAGATAAGTGATATGAAATAAATCGCAAATATTTTAGTTTTTTCAAAGTTTAAAAGAATATCAAAGTTATTCTATGTGTTGTTTTGTGATAATTTATCCTATAATTGATGACAATTATCATATTCTGTTAATTATTTGGCAATATGAACCTAACCTCGTACAGTGTGTCGGTTACTGGGACCTCAGTAGTGTCGAATACTGGGACTACGCAATATTTGGGTGTCGGATACTGGGTCATGCGACTCCCTGACTCATTTACGTTCATATTTATTCACTGATGCATTATTTATAGGTTTTTTTTTTCATTTTGTTGTTCCTGAAATGTTTAGAATCACTTTCTGTCCATTTCATATAATGTTTTCGCCTTGGATAACGACATACATACGTTTTACCGTGGGATACTTCTTAGACTGTCGGATACTGGTACCTCCACGGTATGGCAGTGTTTGATACTGCGACAGACACAAATGTGTAGAGGGTCATACATTTTGAGGGTCAAATGTTGTAACAATCAGGGATTTTTACATTTCAGGGGCCTTAAGATGTTATGACAGTGAATTTTCTTTTTCATAATTCCCAATTATGCTCTTGCTATCCACCATGCAGGTGGATAGGGATTGATAACATTGAAAACATTCGGGAAACGTGAGACTGTTGAAAAAATTGATAAGCACACAAACAAAGAATTAAAAATAAAATATGCATTAGTTTAACAGGTGTGATTATAGATATACTATCTCTTGGTGTGAAGAATAATAAATTAAGCGATAGTATAAATGCCATTATGGAAAAATTAAACAGTACAAAAGAGGGACACTGGAGAAGAATAATCTTAGGAATGACAAATAACATACCATACAAACAAATGAAAATAACTATCAAAATAATAACGAAAATTGGTGTAGAAAAAAATATAGGAAATTTTCCAAGAAGGATTTTCAGCGCTATTGATTATATAACCATTGCGACAAATCTATTCGGAAGCTTATTACCAATGAAAGTGGTAGAGAGAGCAAGAATCAAAAAGACTAATAACGAATAAAATAACGGTCTGTCGCTTCTGTCGAATAGGCTCGCAACCCTGCTTGTTTCATTTGAATTTTGATTGTTTGAGAAAAAGGTGAAATCATTTAAATTAATAATTAGGAATCAAATTTCCGTCTTCACACATTGGAATTTATCCACAATTTATCGAATTTTTAGAGCCGCTATGGTAAAGTCAAATTTTATTAAAAACTTCATTGTTTTTTATCTGCAATTTTAGGGGTAACTTGGCCGCATAATTACCGATATTTTCACCAAAGGACAATAATTTTCTTCAGTCAGTCCTCGTTAAAGGAACATTTTTTTCCGAATAATTCATTCCCGAGAGCAATGCGTAAATGACCAAAAAAAGTTATGACTAGTAATCGTTGAAAAGGTTATTTATTTCAAGCCATATTCCACTTCGGAACATATAACTATTCACCCGAACGTTACCGTGAGGGAGGGGATACTTAAGAATCCTGACTTATTTGATAAGCAATGAATTTACGACGGATTGCATTTTCTAATCGTGTTGGAATTGTGAAAGTGTTGGTTTTTTAATTTTTCAACGTTGTCGCCTCACATAAAATGTTGAAGCAACTGGTGGAGACAATTTTTTTTCTCAACCGGTAATTCATATGAAGACGCAGGCCCACATGGCAACATCAAAGTGGCTTCGAATGTATTGGAACTCAAGTCTCTACCGACGTTCATTCCCACCCACCATTCATCTTCCCACGCAATAATGACTTCTGATTTGATCGATTCCGATGATAAAACATCTTTTGTTAGTTTGACTCTTTCATACTCAAGTGAGCTAGAAAAATTCCGACTATTATGGTTCCAGTAGAGTTTGGTACGGAAAAGTAATAAATACGTGTTCCTGGTAAAGATTGGACTCCTGTGAATCGACGAAGTGATTGCTTTTCGGTTCCGATAAATTTTTTTTTCAGTTACGAATATCGTCCAAATTTTAAGGAGACTTATTTGAGTCCAATCATAGAGACCCTCAACCATTAACATTTGAATCGCGTAGGGACGTGGGAGATGAGCTAGTGCTCCACCCATCCCATCCCAGGGGCCTTTACCATGGGAAGAAACAAAGCATCGCTAGCAAATTCAACCGTGAAAATATCACATTAGAAAAATTTGTTTCAGAACAGTTTGTCAATTAAAAATGTGGTTCAAACAGTCAGTTTTTCTCAAGGATTCAAAGCTTTTCTCTCAAAGCTAGTTTGTTCTCTGTTTTCGTTTAATGATATCCATTCACTTCACTTCCAATCTCTAAATCTGAGTTCTGTTCATAATGATAGTCATCACAAAGGGTGAGCAATAATAACAAATGATTTAAGGCCCGGGTGTACTATCTTTCGAATGTTTTCTGGATTTTTTTCATCTTTCGTAATTCAAAATTGTCAATTGCGTGGTACATCATGTAGAAATTCCCAAAAATTATGATAGAATGATAAAAAAAAAATAGAAAAAATTCTGAACTCTTTGAAAGAGCGTTTTTAATTGAGATTCAGAATGAGTTGAAAAAAGTGGAAATTACAAATATCTGATTCACTGTGGCAAATTATCTATTAGCTGTCATTTTCCATAGTGGATAATAAAACACTAACTCCTCATGGGAAGTGACAGCTAAGTATCTCAATTTTGAAAATTATGGTATGTAGTCATCTGCCATTTTTATGTGATAAGTGTGATTAAAAAATTTTCAAAAATATTACAACTTTTTTCAATGAGCCTTTTCCGTAATAAGTGTCTCTGTGAAGTGTGGGAAAAAATTTACGAAATCAGTCTTCTCCCTCCATGATATTGGGTGACAGGCCGCCATTTGTCACCGTAAATCAGATACATTTTTTAATTTCTTGTGATTCCACTTATTCTGAATATAAATTAAAAATGCTCTTTGAAAAAATTGAGAATTTTTTCTACTTTTTTTTTATTATTCATTCTTAATTTTTCAAAACTTCTGCATGATGCATAGTCGATACGCAATACCCCCCCCTTCCCGTGGTCATGAAGAGGTCCCCAGGATTTTATTGTTGGATTCTACGTTTTTGGGGGTGAGGAATCCGATTCCGTTGGTGGTTTTGCCGTTTCGTTGCGCAATAATTTGTTATAAACAAATTGACTCCGATTTTTAATAAAAAAATTATTTTCCACGAAAACGGTGAAAGATACGGAAAAAAGTTTCAAATGAAAGTTGTTCCTCTTTTTCTCCTGAATAAAAAGGTTTTTGACTTATCAAAATCGGCCCAGTGGGTCACGTGGTATCAGCTAATCAGTGAACGCGGGGCGGCGGACCGCACGGAATTCTTCGGCAAATGAGCGCGTGTAAATGAATATCGGTTAGTTTCACGTATTTTATTCTATTGAACAACTTCTCGGTCATATGATATCCTAAAAACTGTTTAAATAATAAATATAAATAAATATCACGGGCTATCGGCTAATTAGTGAACCGGAATGTGTCAGCTGCTCTGAGAAATCACGAAAATGAAGGTGGACATCGATTGATCTCTAATTCATGTAGTCGAAAAAAAAAATCATGGGAGATGACAGACTTACACAGATGTACACAAAAATTTAATCATACGATGTCAATGATATCTAAACTTTATATTTTATCATTTTTAATCGGATTCTTACATGTTGTGGACATAGCACAGTTACAATAGGAAATGCAAGGTATTTCATTGGCTCGACAAACACAAGTGGTACGTGTACATGCTTTACACGTACAGGGAGAAATTAGCTCCATTGATGGAGGAATTAACTCAGTGACTCTACTGGGTTTCAGAAGCCCATCGACATTATCAAATCCAAATAATTCAGGGTCTAATTTCTCTCTCATAAGATCGAGGGAATGGATTTGATTGTATGTTACGAAAAATGATCGTAGAATATGAAGACGTATCGATTTAGATGTGGGGGGTAATTCTGTTATAGAAAATTTGGGGGAAATGGTTGAAAAATTTCGTAGTCGATCGTATACAGCATCAAGGCGTTTCTCTGCCGCCGCCCTGATTTTATTACACCCATTGTCTCTGCTTATTGTCCCCTTTGATAATCCACAGATTATACAAATTTCGGGAATTTTCAATTGGACCTGATCAGCCATCGTAACTTCACTAACGTCACTAATTGAAATTATTACTTATTGAAATCTCCATTTCTTTGCAAAAAATAAATCAAATCATGGAACTGATTTTCACTCGGATTTCTAACTGTCCGCCACCAAGAACGGGGTGCAACTGAAGGCATCATTGGTTTTTGCGGGGAAATGCTAGTTTAAACAAGAATAAACGAGTCGATGCTCACACGTGCTCGGACGATTTCCACGAATCGAAAATAAAAGAAATTAAAAAAAAAGAAAATAGAGATAGATTTTTAGTTTATCCAAAAGTAGAAATATTTGTGTATTTGAATAAGTTGGGTAGAGTAGGACAAAATGAACACTTGAGACTTTTCAAAAAATATTAATGACTTATTTAATTCAATAAATAAAAATTATTCAATTGTTGATCATTTGCCGAAGAATTCCGCGCGGTCCGCCGCCCCGCGTTCACTGATTAGCTGATATCACGTGACCCACTGGGCCGATTTTGATGAGTCAAAAACCTTTTTATTCAGGAGAAAAAGAGGAACAACTTTCATCTGAAACTTATTTCCGTATCTTTTACCGTTTTCGTGGAAACTAATTTTTTTTGTTAAAAATCGGAGTCAATTTGTTTATAACAAATTATTGCGCAATGAAACGGCAGAACCACCAACGGAATCGGATTCCTCACCCCCAAAAACGTAGAATCCAATAATAAAATCCTGGGGACCTCTTCATGACGACGGGAAGGGGGTATTGCGTATAGACTAGCAGGACTTAATTGACAATTTCAGAATGACGAAAGATGAAAAAAAAACATCGAGATAACGTTCGAAAGATAGTAAACCCGGGCCTTAGTTTATGAATTTTTCTTAAAATTGCTTGAAGAAAAAAAAATCATAAATGTAACAGTAAACAATTGCAAACAATTGATATTCTTCAGTGAGAATGTTGGCAATCATGTCACCAAATTACCCCGAAAATTTCAGATTCAAGAAAATAACGGTTTCGAGTAATTGACAAAATTGACAGATTGACAAAAAATTTGCTTTCGCATCTTGAAATGTGTGAAAACAAAAATTCGATTCCTAATGATTAAATTCAAATATTTAACCTTTTTCTCAAGCAATCAAAATTCAAGTGGAAAAAGTGAAATTTTTCGAGAAATCATAACTCGTTGAAAAAACGAATCGCTTTGAAAATTTTAAGACAACTTGGTCCTATGTACTCTTTCCCAGAAAAAAAACGTAAAGACAATCGGAAACGTGCAATTTTTTTTCATTTCGTATTTGACGTAGAATTGCTCTAAATGTTTCAATTTTTCAATTTTGTGTCATATGTATAGTGTATAGATTAGGGAAAATGAAATAGGACAACAGAAAGGGTTACATACTTTTTGGATAGTAGATGATACTGAATAAAAAACAGTGATACCTCGTATCTCTTCAGCTAGCATGAAGAAAAAGTTGATAACATGCTCAGGCTTCCCCGCAAACTTCTTTCTGAGCACGGGATCTTGAGTAGCAATTCCCACAGGACAAGTGTTCAAATGGCACTTCCTCATCATTGTGCATCCCATGGCGATTAGTGGAGCAGTACTAAACCCAAATTCATCAGCCCCGAGAAGAGCTGCAACGATAACATCGAAACCCGTCCTCAGCTGTCCATCAGCCTGTACAATCATTCTTGATCTCAGATTATTCAGAGTCAAAATCTGATGAGTCTCAGCGACTCCCAGCTCCCAAGGTAATCCTGCAGCCTTGATCCCAGTCCAACTACTGGCTCCAGTGCCTCCATCATGCCCAGAGATCACCACATGCTCAGCCTTCCCCTTGGCAACTCCAGCAGCCACCACTCCCACTCCCACCTCAGACACTAGTTTAACAGAGATTCTGGCATTGGGGTTTGCACATTTAAGATCGTAAATTAATTCAGCTAGATCTTCGATGGAGTAGATGTCGTGGTGAGGTGGTGGGGAGATTAACCCTACCCCTGGAACTGAGTGACGAGTAGCTGCAATGTCAGCTGTCACCTTGTAACCAGGAAGCTCCCCTCCTTCTCCTGGTTTAGCCCCCTGCGCCATTTTGATCTGCAGATCATCAGCGTTTGCGAGATAGCTCGAAGTCACTCCAAATCTTCCACTTGCCACTTGTTTTATTGCAGAGCGTTTGTTAAAGTCTGGATTTTGGTTCAAGTATCTGTCGACGTTCTCACCACCTTCTCCAGTGTTCGATTTTCCACTGATACGGTTCATCGCAACGGCCAGGGTAGTGTGGGCCTCAAGGGAGATACTTCCAAAACTCATTGCACCTGTGGCAAATCGTTTCACAATCTCTGATGCTGCTTCAACTTCTTCAATAGGAACTGGATGATTAGATTTACGAAGCTCCAGTTGTCCTCGGAGGGTGCAAGCTTTTACAGATTCCATTGTGGATTTTCTGTAGTTCTCGTAGGCGTTGGAGGATTTCAGCTCAACTGCTTCTTGGAGATTTGCAATGCTCTGGGGGTCGTTTATGTGCTTTTCTCCTCCCGCTCGCCAGTGGTAGATACCTGGATTGCGGAGGATGTGACAATCGACCATCTGCTCGTGGAACATCAGGGAGTGACGCTCGTAGCCTTCTTTTGCCAAGACTTCAAAGTCTACTCCTCCAATTCGTGATGGCGTTCCCTGTAATTTATCAATTCATTGGGTGAAAAAGAGAATTCAAAAGCTAAAGGCAGAATTTCAGGGGAGGCGTCGTTTCATTGCACGTTTGGAATCAGTACAATCATAAATTGGATCCGTGTTTTTAATCATTGCGGTGAAAGGATGAAAGTTTCGTCGATTTTTTAATTATCTCGGTGATACATAGTGCTAAAGCTAAGAATTGTTTCTTTTTCTCACAAAAGATCTTGGGTCTATTCCAAAATACTTAACCTTCCTGAACTGGCGGGTAGAGCGGCGCGCCGCCGCCAACTACTCAACCTATAGGGCGCCACTGCAGTGCAAGTGAGACGTACACTGAAATGTAGTATATACTGGAAAGGGCATTGCCATGCTAGGCCCGTAAGCGGAAAACGAGCCAGAGAGAGGTAGATTTTCAAGGATAACTGTCTCACTCTAGCAGGCGTTGCGCATGCGTAGAACGAGCATGTACATGCGAGTTAAAAAGCTTATGTACTCTGAGTGGTGCACACTCAATTGTTGCTATTTACGTCTTGGCGATAATTGTCCCATTGTGAGAATAAAAAAATATCCTCTAATCCACGAACAGCTATTTCGTAGAAAATTAGAGGAAAAATCGTGTATTTTGATATTGTCTTCATTGGATTTCTCTTGTATTCTTCATGCATTAAAACAATTCACAATTACAATGTTCTTATTTTTTATTGCAGTATTGGGACAACTAGATATAAACAGATTCCAATNTTGAGAGTCCCTGGAATTCCCTCAAAATAAAACCTATATCATTCAATTTATACTTTCTGTTTCAGGAATTATATTGGACATACCTAAATTTCAAAATCCGAATACTGATGACGATATCGACTCAGAGGATTTCGATACACCTTCAGATTGATTGAACAAATAATCTCTTGAATTGTATATTTTTTTGTATTTTTCCCATGTGGAATTATTTTAATTAAATTGTAAATGGCCCGAGTATTATTACATTGGAAAAAAATGATCAATTCTATGTTATAATGATGCAACAACAAAAACTGAACGCCAATACTGAATTCTATACGTTCTAGAAGGTAAGAAAACTTTTTGAGCGGACGGTACGAGAGAGAGGTATCCTTGAAAATCGCCCCTCTCTGTCGGCTCGCGTCAGGCGGATCAGTGCCCTTTCCAGTATATACTACATTTCAGTGGAGACGTAAGAGATCTAGCCAGTTCAGGAGGGTTAACAATCCAATCTGTGCATTCTGTACACCGTAAAACAAAATGAATTCTGCTAAATAAAGATCTATTCGAGAAAAGTATATAATTTTTCGAAGATGCTATTCTCCAAGTCATTCATTTCCAGGGACTCCAAATAAGATACCATGTGTTTCAATAATCATTCCATGTGTTTAATGTGTTGCATAATAACATAATAACATAGTAACATAATTAAACATAATTTTACATCGTAAATTATTATGCAACGATGGATCATTAGATCCATCGTAAAATTATTATGCAACTCCCTTTATTATTATTCACTTTTTGGACGTTATCAAGATGTGTCTCAAGAAGACTTTTTGGATGTTCTCAGAGAAGGTCGAATTTAGGGGCCACTTGTTTTTATCATACCGCCAGCTCCAGAAGTTCTTCCGCATCTTCCGTATAGAATTCAGCATTGGTTTTGAATCAATTCGTGTTGCACCCGTGATATTTCGTAAATGGAACATTCAACGCATTAAATTACATTAGAAAATTCAGAAATTTTCCCATTTAAGGATAGTTATCTACTTTTCGAAAATCGATTTTTTTTCATCATATTTAAGAAAAATATTGAAACTGTTCCGCAACAGTTCAAAATCGAATGAACAATTTTTCTCCTTATAAGCGAGTTTTTATGGGATTGATTTTCAAATTGATAATTCATTTACTAAAAGACTCCAAAAATTAAAAATAGAAGTAGGAGGTAATGTGAAGAAATATATGCAATTTTATGTGCAGAATATCTCGGAATCGAAGCAAGACAACAAAATATTCGAGGTATCTATTTTGTAGAGCAAAATCAGATTTTAAAAATTGGTCTCCAGAATCTTGTTATCTTTGTTCGATTCCGGGATATTTATAAAAAAATTTGTCCCGAAGTTGAATTGGCGATCAGTTCTTGGATCATATCTTAGAATCTAAGCGAAATATCATAATTTCGCAATTATTTCGTTGTGTTCACTTTTAATTTTTGAAAATTTCTGGTTGGCATTCTTTTTATAGTCCATACGCTGTGAGACGTTCCGTATACACTTTTAGATCCATTGAATTTTACCAGTGGACACAAATGTTATTCACTTTTGCGAGGTGTGGTTAGTTTTGTTGATTTATAATATTTTAATTGTTTATAACGCGATTTTGCGAAATCGGCCTGACTTAGGCAAGAAAGTTTCGAGCAAAAAATATGCCTCGTCTAAAAGTACATATAAATTTCTTTCTTTCTATTTTTATTTCTATCTCTCATAGTTATCGAGTTATCACTTCTGAAAGCAGCTCGTGGATAGCGGAGGCGCGCGCACGTGACCCTTCACGCACTTCGCTCAGATTACAATGATAACGGTTGGGAATAAACGACAATAGTTGGAATAAAAAATATTTCTTATTAAAAAATACATAATTATTGTCTTATAACATTTTCCCCTAACTTTAATGGTTGACGAAATAATTCGATGGAAATGAGTAAAAATAGCCCCAATTGCCATCCAACGTTGATCCTCCATCCAACGTCAATTTTTTAATTTGTCAAATTGTGAAGTGATGCATCTTCTACACCGTTTTCTGATGAGTAATTTTCATTCTGAACTTTTTTCCTGACCGTTTTCTGATGTAGAATTTTCATTGACCTTTTTTCTCTTCAATTATTTACATCACCGAATATCCGATATAACACTTTTAGGTCCATTGAATTTTATTGACTAGCGCCGCCGCGGCCGCAAGCGGCCGCGACGTTGATGCCGTTTCATTATGCTTTTTCTCAATCTTTCCTTGTTTCTTTAAAAAATTAATGATTCATCATAGTCTTATTAAACTGAGTATTAAGATTAATGGGCACAATGCTTATCGGGTCATCACCTGTTTAATTTCAATATTTCAATGAGTGATTCAATGATTCTTAATTTTTGTACTCAGTGAATGAAGTTTTAACTATGATTATAATAAAAATTCTATTCAGAGTGCGAACCAATAATTATTGAAGTTCACACAACCCAGAATTGTTTAGTGTTCGCCACCCCTTTTGTTCTCCTTTACACCTTTACCAAAGCATTTAATTATTTTTGCTGGAAAAATTATATGACAGATTCTGATGCTCCTTCGCTAATTCGGAGTATTTTCTCGTCATTCATGATCTTTTTCACAATTTTCTTCGACGATGCCATGAACTTGAAACTTTGATGGATCATCTGAATTTTTGTCAAATCCTCCATGAAGTCCCGAAATTCTTGTGAATTTTGCTTGAAAAACTTGGAAATTTTTGTGAAATTATATTCTCCGATTTCTCAAATTATGTTTTTCTTTCCCATTTGAATCAATCAGAGTGCAGTAGTTGGTGTCACGTGACTCCTTCACATCAATTTCATTTGGAAAATTCCACCTTTTCCTATCAATTTTTCTCCCATGGTTTATTCAAAAATGCTCTAATATTTGTGAGATACCGAAAATTTTCTCTAATTTTCTAAAGACTCGTGGATTTTTTCGGGTTTGNACCGAAAATTTTCTCTAATTTTCGAAAGACTCGTGGATTTTTTCGGGTTTTTTCAGAAAATCTCATAATTGTTGTAAATTCTCTGGAAAACTTCCGAATCATTTTACATTCAGAAAAAACCGACAATTCTCTGATTTTTTAGGGAACCTGTAAACTTCCTTAAAGTTCTTATAATTCATCCCCTATTCATCCTATTAAAGGTGGATTTTAGAAAGAATTTGAAACACATCCTCTTTTATTTGTAAAAATCTTCTCTTAATAAGCACGCCTTAGAAATAGAATCTACTCAAAAATGTTCATATTCCTATCGTTCTTAACAGTTTCGGCTTTGCATTATTATTTCAGTCAGGCTGAAAGGCTCCTTTTTCATATTCGCNATAACTGCTATGTACTCATAATTATGAGCGAATATTTAAAAAATATATTTAAAAAAATGGAAAGTCGACTTTTCGAAGTAGACTAATGAAATGATTGAAAAAATTGCGATTTTCGGAGACCATGACTGTGTTTTTATAAATGATTCTATCGNTTTCAACAATTAATGATTCATTATCGTCTTATTATACTGAGTGTTAAGGTGAATGAAAATAATGTTTGTCATTTGATTGCCTGTTTAATGTCAATATTTCAATAAGTAATTCACTAATTTTGAATTTCTGTGCTCTATGAATGACGTTCGAACTATAATTATAATCAAAATTCCATTCAGAGTACAAAACAATAATTAGTAAATTTCTCTCAACTCAGAATTTTTTAATCTTCGCCGCCCCCTTTATTCCCTTTCACAACTTGACAATAGCATTCAATTATTTTTCTAGCAAAAATCATAAGACTGATTCTGATACTCTTTGGCTAATTCGAAGTATCTTCTCATTCATGATCTTTGTCACAATTTTATTAGGTGCTATATTACTTGAAACTTGAATCATTAATCATCTGAAATTTTTTCAAATTCTCCATAAAATTCCAAAGTTCTTGTGAATTAACAAAAAAATGTTTGTGAAATTGTTGAGAAAATCCGAGGAAATTTTCGAATTTTTAAAAATTATGTTCCTTCTCATTTCCATCAATCAGAGTGCAGTTGTTGGAAGCTCGGGACTCCTTCACATCAGTTTTATTTGGAAAATTCCACCTTTTCCTACCATTTGTCCTCTCATTGTTTATTCAAAAATTCTTTAATATTTGAGAGATAAAGAGACCCAAAATTTCCTCCAATTTTCGAAGAATGCAGTTTTCTCGAATTTTTTCAGAAAACCTCATAATTGTTTTAAATTCT